TTGCAGTGCACCTAATGAACAAATGGATGGTTGTTACTCAAAAATAAAAGCTGCTGAAGCCACTATTAGCTGCACATACTGTATAAAATAATGATGTGTAATTAAATAAAATACTGTACTTCAATTCCAGTCACCATGAAGTGCTCAGAGAAACTGGTCCTCACACGTTAACCACAAGGTCCCAGACACTGTAGACCCCGTCCAGTTTGCCTACCGCCCCAACAGATCGTGGATGACACGACGGCTCTGGCTTTATTCCACACCCCGAAACACCTGGACAACAGCAGTACGTATGCTAGGATGCTCTTCCTGGATTACAGTTCTGCATTCAACACCATTCGCCTGGGTAGGCTGACTGGGAAGATGACAGACCTCGGTGTCCCAACTCCCACCTGTAAGATTCTGGACTTCCTGACATAAAGACCATAGGTGGTCAGTTTTAGAAATTAATAAATCAGTCAGATAATTATTAGACTTTAACATGTTAGACTTTAATGTGTTAGTAATGCAGTTTAGTAAGATTCAAAGTTGTTCTAGTCTGCTCTGTTTTAAAAGCTATTTTTGTGTAAGCTTCTTCCGGCTCTTTGTAACCAGGAACTCCCAGAGACGAAGTAGACCACTTGGATTATATAAAAAATAACTGTGCTGGTTTATTCAAAGAATCACAGGTAAAATTAACATTACACGTCCAGATCTCTTCCACCTCTGATCCTGCACGCAGGCAGAACCAAGTATGAAAGACCCTGAACCATAATGCCTTGTTAGGTAATTTCTTAGTCAGATAGATATTTGTTAGACATCTGTTGTATTAGCAAATGTTTAGTGTAGACAGGCTGTCTATGCTCAGGCTGGTAAATGCTTAGTTCATTGTCATGAGTTCTGCAGGCTGCATCTAGGCCAAGGTCAACTAGATTGCAGAGTGTGCAGACAGGATGAATATTGCTAGTAGCATGCTATGCTCAGCCGTAATCTTAATCATAATATCTTCCGAGGCTTACTGTTCGGACATGTCCCTGAATGTCCTGTATGTTTTTAGATACACACCACTAATCAACAGCCACACACTTTAATTTTCTCCATGTTTTGACTACTGCTCTGGTCAGCTGCCAAGCTGGCATATCAGGTGACGTCACGGTTTGACGTTGCCTGTGTAGGATGGGGCTAGCCCAACCAGGTGATTAAATTGTATAGGCTATTAGGTTTGGGGCTTTTTTTTCATCTTCCGGGCTGCCTGCGCGCAGTACTGGAGGTGGAAGATGCCTGGACGTGTAATGTTAATTCTTGCCTGTGACCCTTTGAATAAACCAGCACGGTTAT